CCCTGCTGTTATGGGCCTACCAGACCTATCCCCACAGAATTATTAAACACTTTACTACTGTTTAATTCTGTGTGGTTGGGGAAGGTTAGGGTTAACAGTTTAGATAAACTCAAAAATTACTAGTTTGTACAGGTTTGTTTTGAGTAAAAAGTGCACGCCAAGCAAAATTTCTGGACTCATTTTTAAGGTCCTTTGGAGTGGACAGACTGTGATACACCGATGTTCATGTGCAAAGGTGAAACACGGTGACAAAACCACCTCAGCTTGTTCCACGGTTCGTCATACACATCGTGCACATTTCGGCAACACAGAATTGAAAACTGTTGACAACTGCAATGCCTCTTTTCAACTCCAAACTGACTATTGTAGCATATCCACACGAAGATTCTGAAACTCTAGTGAACCCTGACCTCTCACGCATCTCACTAGGAATCTTCCAAAATCCTCCACCACACAGGAAAATTTTTTGGACGTTCAACACTCAAAATCTTCCAAATCTGGGTTGAACATGAACGTGGTCCCTGTCAAAATATCACTCATGTCACAATAGAGAAAGGAAATTCTCACTCCTGAAATAGGTTTGATCTATTTTACTTGTTTAATTGTTTATTACTTTTAATAATTATAATTGTGATGAATTTTTTGGTGCTTGTTATTTTTTTACGTACTTTTAACGTATTTTAATCATAACATGCAACATTCTTGTAAGTTGGCTTGTTGGACCACGACAAGAATGAAATAAACTCATGAATGAATACATGACTGAATGAGTGAATTTAGTGCCAGAAATTGATTTCCGGTCCTGTTGCATCCGACGTGTTGATTAATTCTACATGTACATGTATGTACATGTATCTACTGCTCATGAATTCAAACCATATGTGAATCGACCAACAAATGGCAATACCAAGCGTGTTCTAAGTAAAACAGTTGGTTTTTTTCCTCTCCTAAATTGAACTTTTCTGGACATGTTTTTGCATTCTGACAGCTAATAGTAGCTAATAGGTCATTGTAGGGAATAATTACTTGCGTTCGTAGGTGGAACTCTTCCCAAGTGTTTTGCTTTACAATGCTTTGTTTTACACATTGCTCTCTAACTAGCACAAACTACATGTAGATTTTCTATAGAATAGCTCTTTTTCAGGTGTGGTTCGATGCTAGCTACATGTACCCAATTTGTGCACCATGTCACTGCAGTGAATCTTGTACAACACTCAGTCTTGGGGATTCTTGTGTAGATGTGAAAAATATGAAAAAGTGCACGCACACCGTTTTGGGATTCAAAGGTCAAACAGGTTCAACCGAGGACACATTTTTAACCGGTCAATAAGTCGCCATTCAGGGGACAAATCGGGCCAGATTATCTCCACATTCGGCCCACGTTTACAAGCGTCAAATGTGGCATCTGGTAATGGTGGTTGTGCGAAGGGTTAGCGTCACAATTTGGGTGGAAGAAGGGGAGCAAGTTACATGATTTATGGCAATGGCGATGCTAATTGTGTTACCTCATATGACCCCGCCGTCGTGCAATGCATCATGGCACGTAAACGGGTATGCGTATACACACACACGTTCAACATTCACCCAAACGCAGTAGTTCAACATTACCGCAAAATAACGCACAGTTTGCCCACAAAAAACTCATCATACTCACCAATACTGGACATACCGTCCATGATGAATGTGTTTCCGATTCCTCTGCCTTGATGTAAGATCTAATTCCAAACTGAACGGCTCGAAAATTGCCAATAAATAAAGCGATGCGAGGGACGTATTTCTGCGAAATTTCACATTGTAGTCCACTGTAGCATTGCGAATTGCGCTGTGTGCGTGCAGCTAGCGCTGGCGGTCGTGAAGCCTCGCGCCAGTCTACCTAAGTCTAGTCGCAGACTCAACGATTATAAGAACGGCGTGTACCTCGACATTATTCTAAAAATAGGTCAAGTCTGGTTCCGACAAGGTGGCGTTGATAAATGTACGCAAATCCCGTCTTCTTAACTTTTGTTGATTTCCTACTTATGAATAAGCTGTTAACTTATTTTCTCACCGCACCGCGTTGCAATAACTCCCAGCAACCAACACAAATACCTGAATGTTTAAATCCACGAAAAGATTTATTCAGTGCTGTTTAAATAAACTGGAAAGCCATTTTCGCCTCTCGTAAATAATAACGCAATAAAAGATGTCGTTAATTTGTTTTCCTGCGAAGCTATTTAACCAAATCGTAGGTTAGGGCAATGTACTCCCCCCCCTTATGCCACATTACGACCCCATCCTAAACTTGCCTTAAAATTCCATCCCATGATTATTTTTGAATGATACTCACGAAAATGAATCATTCTTCTCTGTACACTGTCTCATGGAACTATAGAAAGGGATACCCATGATTGTACCGGATGGTTTTGCTTTTCATGATTGCAGAAAATTATATCCGACTATTTCGGTTACGTAACTTTAAGACATTTGGCCAAATAAAAGTAATGAATCCACACTAACCTGTGTTCATTTTCTTCTTCTATGGTTCATTGCAGAGGGCCTATTCGAGATTACAAAAGGGGGCGATCCTTGAGCTAAATAGGGAAAGTTTGTATTTTATATGCAACGTTAAGACCGATAGGGCAAATTTGTGAGTTGCAAAGAGCTCCAACCCTGAACTAAAATCGAGACAGCTTATACATCTGCTATCCGAAAATCGAAGAGTACTGAAAGACCAACCTAATATCTTCAATTATAATTCAATAATACGCAAATTGTGACAAAAGGTCTGCAACAGAGAAAAACAAGCCTCAACCTCAAGTTAGCATTGAACGGACGGGTGTGAGGAAGCAAGTGTCCATTTCAATTTCTTAGGTAATAAGCGCTTTATAAGGTTTATCGTTGCTATTTTGACGCGGGTGTACAGCGATAGGACCCATATCATCCGTGAACCGCATGGGAAAGACCGGATATTGTGAGTAACAATAATTGCCCAAAATCAGGTCAGTCCGCCCTTGGAGGGTTTGGCGCCGCCCATGTTGCCTCTGGGGAATCCTGCCTGGAAAAATCCTGAGGAATTATGGGGTGAGTGTCGCATGGCGGACCAGGACAGGAAAGGATACGAGGTAGTCTGCAGAATGGGCTGGTAACCTTGGACTAGAGGGAACCCTGGACCGGCGTGGGGGTGGACCCTGGATTTGCTTGGTTGCTCTTGAACAGGTGGACGGGGCCCAGACATGATTTGAAAAATTGTTCTTGTGAATAGAGCAGGGTTTACGGACCAGACACTGCGTATATGTACTGTTCAATGGGGTGAATTTGAAAATTACAAATGCCTGCTGTAAGCAGATTGTAAAATCGTTTCTTGAGCTAAGCTGAAAAAAGTTTGCAGACGGCCTAAAATCATGCAACTGCGACCGTGTGATGCTTTCATGACATGAAAACACTGTGCATTCAAGACCCTCCCGGTCCTATGTCTGATTTTGTTTTGTGTTGTTTATTTGTTTGCTTAGTTTTTCCCTTTCCTCATCTTTGTTTCTTTTCTTTTTTAAATACTGGGTCACATCCTGAGGTAATACTAGACTTGATGCCGCCATGTACTTGAAAATATTATGGCCGCTTTCAACCGTATCCCCGAATGCTCCACTTAACATTATTGTCAATGTCTGTTGTGAAACTTTGCAAATGGTGAATGAGTGAGTAATAGTCTATTATGAACGAGTTCGGTAACCGTTCTATTGTAAATTTTATTGACTGTGAAATGTGAACTTTGTGCACTAGTTATTTGGTATTAAAGTTTAAACCACCCAGTAGAGTTTTACGATACGTCATCACTTTACTTCCTGCGCACGCACGCCGCACTGCTGGGACGCGTGGCGCGTTTCGTCTCAATCTCCGAAATGGCAATTCAACCTGTCTCCCCGCTGGAGGGCGGCATTTCATGATACGATTGTGCCCAATTGCACCGCCCACCGCCACATCTAGAACGTAAGCATTATTCGGTAAAATAGGCATACGGAGTCTATCAAAGGCCAGAGCCTTTTAATTTTTCATTTATTTTAACTTTTTTGCCTCGGCTCTTTTGCTTCGACATCAGTCATCATTAATTTGCTAAGTTTTTTTTTAAAAAAAAGGAAATAACACATTTGGAAACTGTGACGTTTTATTTCCTTAAACCGAAAATAATTTCTGAAACAAAGCCCAAAATAAAAGAAAACAAGAATGGTGCAAATATTCAAATCTGTACTTAAGGCCAAGACTTTGTGTTTATCCCAAATAAAAAGGCTTAACTGTCTATCAGTAAATTAATTCCAAAAATTTAATGTTGAAATTTTCAATAAACACACCTTTTCACTAATAATGTTATCTTTTTGTCTCCGTAGCCCTTTTCTCCTTGTGCTGCATCTGTTAAAATCCTAAATGGGCAGTATTCGGGATTGGACGTTCTACATTGGCTGATTAGTATTCGCGACTTTTTGTTGAGCGGGTAGCTTCTGCTCTGCTGGTGTTGGTCTATGTTTGTAGTCAGTTTGTGTTCCACTTATTTCGGCTCGTTTGGCATAGGCCTTATTCCGATTGCAAAATGTTGGCTGACACTATCCTCATCGTGGTCATCTCAGTCTGTACGGCGCTTCTGTCAGAAGGTTTGTAGGCTACTTTGTAAAATAATGATCTTCAGACATTTTGTCAGAACTTTTGGCATTGTCTCTTGACACAAACCGTTCTTGCTGTACCAACCATACGACGTGACATCGTGCACGAATGCTAAATCTGCATCACGAACGTTCATTAATGAAGACATCATGGATAATAAGTTACGTTTTTGGCTTTCCATGTCATTCCACGACACTGTTTATTGAAATCATGTTTTTGTATCAAGTTTGTACGTTGCAGGCCCAGGCTAAGCATTATTTAATTCCAGAACTGTGTAACTGTAATAGTGTAAGGTTTGTAGTACACAAACCCTTTCAGGTAGCCGTGTATAAACTCCCGTAAACACATTTGGGCTTTTTTGATTATGCCAGCTTACTCGGCTATTTGCTTCCATTCCAGTGACCAATTACAGTGCAGTATTCATCCATGGGTGACAGGAAAACAAAAAGAAAAACAGAAGCTGTGTTGTGATTGGTCAAGCTATCACACAGCTGACAGTGATTGAGAGTACATGCTGTAGATTTTCTGTAGTGTGGATGGGCAAAATACTCAAGAATTTCACCATTTTAATGAGGATACAAGGTGAATAAACCTCCCCATCTGACATCTGACTTGACCATGCAGGCATGTATGAAATTTGGTTGCACAAATAGCTATGATGGAAGGGTAAAGTTCGCACAATCAAAACAGCCAAAATGTG